AGCGGTTTCCTCATGCTAACTAAAATCTACTAGAAGTTGTGCCTCATAACCTGTTGCACCTCTGCTCTGAGGCTGTCAGCTCCTCCGTGAAATAAAAAATGATTTAGAACCATAAAGTCTAAGGCTTTGCTAAAGTCACTCTTTAGCTTTTTTAGTCTGCAACCTATAATGGCTCAATTAGAAACCCTGCTAAAAGGGTTACATACTCAAGGCTTGAAAATGTGATAAGGTAGACAATTCTACCAAGAAGAAAACCATTAAAACCTATAAATCATTCCATAGCGATTAGCTTGTTTTCGTCCCACTAGGAGAGCAAAATGTTTGGGACCTTGCCTTTTGCATGGACTTTATACACACTTCCATCCACACAAACGCTAACATTTCACTCGCATTTTAGGCGATTACAACAAATTAACACAGAGTACACAGAACATTTTCTGATACACAGTCTAATCTTAATCTTCCTCCCTGATCAGCTGCCTCAGAACAACTCCAGATCTGCTCTCTGGATAGATCAAAACAAAAAAAGCCCCAGAGATGTCTGGACAGAAACCATTTCCACTCCCCTCCTTATAGTAGATGCAAAGGGCAAGAGAACAGTATATGAGCAAGATGATTGACAAAAACATTGCCAGAAGTGCTGTCATCTCTCACCTGCACTAACAAAATATCCTTTGTTTCTGAGGCACTGGTGCTGTGCAGATTTTGGATAACACAAACTGGCAGTGCACCTCTATTCCCACTGAGCATTATCTTATTCTGCAGCAACTCCCACTGGCAAAACATACATTTATTGTGCAGACACCAGAACTGAGCTATTTCTGGAAAGAAATCAGATTCATTATATGGGGAGATGCTGCCCTTACATGTGGGAACGTTACATCATGTGAATCGTCAATGAAGATTCTCTTCAAGAACGAGTGTTTAGGCATGGCAGTCTGGTCCCTCTTCATTCCTATTCTCCCATGAAAGAGGTACTAGAGAGCCCTATATACAAAGCAAATCAGCAGCAGAGTGCCTTCTGACTCAGTGTTTTAAGTGTGCTGGACTGAACACCACAGTCTGAAGACTAAGAAATTCATTCTACTAGCACCGAGTGACATGAGCCAAAAAGGAAAGCGCTTAAAAGCTAAAAATTGTAACAGCATGCTACAATTCCGCTGCTCACTCTCCATGTTGGCTTATAAAGTTTATCTCACCAGACCTTCATGAGCTGACTTGGACAGAGAAGGATCCCAGCATCTGAACTAAGATTTGAATCAATGTCCAGAATTAAATTACTTTATTATTCCAACACTG